CGTGTTAATTTTTTTATATAGTTTTCACTCTTAGAAGCACTTTAAGATAAATAAGTACCGTGATCGTAGCGCACGGGATATAGAAAAGTGTCGGGAATGCTATATGTTGAGCAAATTTTATTCAAGAAACTATGATATAATGATAGGCATGATGATTGCAAAGTTTGTAGTGGTTAAGGAAGCCTTGTGTTCAATGTTTCTATAAGGAAAAAAAAAAAAATTAAAGCTTTTATTGATAACTTTATTCTTTGAATATATTAAATATATTATAATTATAAAATATTGCATATGAAAAACCACTTTACCTACCTACCTAACAACCTTAGAAGCTTAAGAGTTTGGAGCATGCTTCAACTTAGTGCTAAACTAGGACATTGAGCTGACAAGGCCCACGTCTAATGATTGGATTACAGTTCGATACTTGATGACCTCGACGTTCTCTTGTGACATGACCACGTTACCTACTCCTCGTTTTTTAAGAGTGAAGATTATTCTCGTAAATCCATACAGGTCCTTTCGATATGATTTGTCTTCGTTCACATGTATCCCAGGAAAATTCTTAGGATGACACCCAACGTAGAATTGCTCAAAGTAAAGCACGATTAACCATGAAGTTTCTATGATTGAGCTATCGAAAAGGAACGTGGACTTTAGTGGTATAGGTAGTAACTTTCATTTACCTTCAACTTTTCTTTGTCATCATATTCTCGGGATTGCTCTTATTTGAATGTGATCTGGGTTCATTCATGTATCACTTCTTTACTCGGGTGTCACAAAAAATTCATAAATAGAATAACCCTTTGTTTGATTTGTAGGGTTCATAATTAGATTCTCGAGAGGATTCATAATGAAGGTCAAAAGACTTCGCGAAAGTCTGTTGAACACAACTTAAAAACCAACCAAGAACTCTTACAAACCCTTAAGAACAAGTACTTAAAATCCGAGTAAAACACACATTAAGAATCTCGAAAGCCCTTAAAAACTCGAAACTCTTCTTGACACTTTAAAGATTAAAAGACTAATATTTAAAATTTAGACGATATTTTTTTAAAAGATAAGTTGAAGGAATTTGAAGCTTAAAAAAAAAAAAAAAAAAAAAAAAAAACCAAATCCAATGGGCAAAGAAGGGACAAAAACATGAACAATGACAACTAAGAATCCAATTTCGATTGACATGTTTTCTCATGCAAACCTCGAATCCCTCAATTTCTTACATCTGTTCTTGTTCTTCCCCTTAAAGCAATCTCCTCTTCCTCTTCCTCTTCCCCAATTTCCGATTCCATGGCGGATTCTCAGCTCCGGCGACCCACAGCTTCCCCGTCCGATGACCCTCCTTCCACTACTCAACTTTTCCCACTTCTTCTTACTCTGTTACCACTCGCCGCCTTCCTCCTTTTCCTCGCCGGAATCTCCTTCATCGGAACCGTCGTTGGCTTGGCCGTTGTGTCTCCACTTTTTGTCATTTTCAGCCCCATTTTGGTCCCTGCCGCCGTCGTCATCGCCTTGGCGGTCGCCGGATTTCTCACCTCCGGAGCTTTTGGGGTCACGGCGTTATCTTCTCTGTCCTGGATGGCCAACATTTTGCGACGGTCAGGAGATACCCTTCAGCTCCAGCAGGGTAAGCAATGGGTCCGTGAAACGGCGTCGCATGAGGAAGTTCAAACCAAGACTGAAGAAGTGGGCCCGGCCCAGGAAGGAGGAAGGACTGCACAAGGCGGTCAGGCCCAAGCGAAAGGTACCGATAAAAATGGAGCGGCCCAAGAAGAGTCTAAGGCCCAAGAAAGTGGGAAGGCCCAAGAAGAGTCTAAGGCCCAAGAAAGTGGAAAGGCCCAAGAAGGTGAGAAGGCCCAAGGAGGGAAGGAATGATAATGTGAGCCCATTGAACTATGGATGGCCCAACTAGGATCAAGTTTTTGCACTTTATATTTAATTAATTTAATAATTTTGGAATTCTTAGTATTTCGAGCAGAGTGTGTAAGTGTGCGTTGTTTTTTCATCTTCGCCACGAATTAAAAAAAAAAAAAACAAAAAAAAGGAAAAAAGGTTCATGAAAGTTTGTTCCCCTTGTGATTTCATAATTGGTAAGCTTATTTTACGATAATTTCTTTAATTTTTATTTTTAGTACTCCCATTCCGAAATTACGTGACGGGTGACACAGATTTACGGTTCAATTTCAAAGATCGAGCTATCACATCAAGTAGCAACGAGAAGGTAATAGGTGGTAAGTTATAGAGTTGCTTACTTCGGCTTTTAGATGAACGGTTGGGTTCATCAATCTGTCTATTGTGAACATCGATTGCATCTCTTTTAGGTCGTGTCCTAGTTGGAAGGCAAGTTTGAGGTTGTGTCCTAGTTGGAAGGCAAGT